TCCACCCAACCCTCACCCTCCTCCGCGCCGCCTTCCCTCTCCTCCCCGCCCCGTCCCCCGGTCTCTCCAACCGCCGCACCAAGTCCCGCCCGCGCCCCGCCAAGCGCGCCCAGATCGACGCCCTCTCCGCCCACATCGCCGCCCTCCTCCCTCTCCCCACCCCGAACCCCACCCGCATCGTCGACATCGGCGCGGGCCACGCCCACCTCGCCGCCTCCCTGGCCGCCACGCTCCCGCTCCCCGTCCTCGCCGTCGACCGCGACCGCACCCTCCTCCGCACGGCCTCCGTCCTGCACGGCCCGCACCTCGCCGCGCACCGCCTCTCGCTCTCGCACCACGCCCTGTCCGCGTCCTCCCCGTTCTCCCTCTCGCCCTCGGACCTCGCCCTCGGCCTGCACGCCTGCGGCGCGCTCGGCGACGCCCTTGTGCAGGCCGCCGTCCGCGACCGCGCGGCCGCCGTCGCCCTCGTCTCCTGCTGCCTCCAGAAGCTGGCCCCCGCTGCCCCATTCCGCGCCCCGCTGTCCCGCGTCGCCCGCCGCACCCCCGCGCTCGCCGCCCTTCTCTCCGTCCCGCGCCCAGTCCTCGGCGCCACCAACCGCACGCGCGGCTACCCCTCCCCGCGCCACGTCGACGCACGCGCCACGCGCTACGCGCTCCGCGTCCTGCTCTCCGACTGCGGCTGCCCGGTAGAACGCGCCGGCGACGAGGTCGACGGCGTGTCGAGGCACGCCCTGCGCGGCGGACTGGGCGCTGTTGCTGAGGACGTGCTTGCCAGACGCGGCATCTCCGGACGCCTTTCGAAGGAAGAGGTGGAGGAAAGGATGGATAACGCGAGGAGCGATTATGAGAAGATGAGGAGGCTAAGTGTGCCAAGGAATTTGGCGGGCGAGGTGCTCGAGATGCTAATCGTGTTGGATCGCGCAGCGTTACTGGAGGAGGCTTTTGGGGAGGTGAGGACGTGTCGCGTCTGGGGCGATGACGTCAGTGTTAGGAACTTGGCTTGTTTTGCTTGGAGATGAACATGCAGGTTGCTTGTTGATATCTATAAGACCGTCAAAGGAGGCGCCAAGTTCTGCGGCTTGGTAGAAGAAATACCCTTTCGCATTGTTGGGGGTGCGAATACTGCCGGTGCCTGAGGATGAGACGTTTGTCGATTTGCTCTCAGAGTTGTACTGTGCTTGTTCTGACCATATTGTAAGCGTGCGTGTGTTGTGGGGCTTTCACAAACAACAGGACGAATCTGGGGGCAGCCGAGTGATTTAAGCCATTCTTTTCCTTCGGCTAGAACGTGGGGAGGGGAATCTTGTAGCTCAACAGAAGTGTGAGACTTCCGTACACTTGAGAAAAGAATTTCGTGCACACTTCGTTTCAGCTCGCTCGTTAGTGGTGTGTAGCAAGCCATCCACCCGCTGGACGTTCGGGCGACTCCTTCCATTTGCTCCCGGTTGGCCCGTTGACCCAACCTTCCAACAATTCTTTCAGGATGGATTTTCTTCGCCCCTTGACTGTTTAAGCGCGCCAGATGAAAGAGAGCAAAAATCTGGGCCTTCCTGGCACGTCGAACTCAGTATTGTTCTAGCGCAGTGATAAACGAATTGTACAAGTACCCCTCCCGTAGGCCTTCGTTGTGCCTCAGGAAAGCAGATCACGCCCCAAAGAGCTTTCCTTACCAAACTCGAGCGGCGAGGGGCTAGACATTGCCAAAGCTAGGGCAACTCTAGAAGACAGGTTATCTTTGCTGGCATCATCGCTCAATTACACTAGTTGATCTAGTCACGCGCCCGACGAATCACGTAGATGAACATATCACGTCGAAACGCGAAGTACTGTACTGTACTATTAATCTACCGTGGACTTTCGCCATCGGGATATTGAAGACTCTGTATTTCAGAGTTGATACTCTTGCGCAGAGTCAGTCCTAGTATCTCCGAATCCTACATACAATATCTCTCGTCGAAGATGTAACTTGGACTGTTCAGTTGTCGTTGAACAACTGATTCCTACATGACGACAGAACTCTTGAAAACGAAGCTCACAAAACAGAAAAGCCAATTCGTGGATCAGAGAGCTACAATCCGCCACGCAACAATATGTATTCTTCTTTCGGACTTTTACTTTCCGATGTGCTGGGTCCTGAATACTCTGCATATTCTTTGTATGATTCAATGCGGATTGAAGTTCAGAGGTGACACAAACACTGAGAAAGCTGATGCTCACTCAAACATGTCGTGACTCCGTCGTTTGTCAAGGATTGCAAAGCTTCACTCGGAAAGTACGTTCTCCTGACCAGCAGTTACATTGTTCTGACAAACAATGAAACTGCTGGTCAGGACAGGGAGAACTTGATTAGGAACGTATTGCGAATTCACGAGAGCCAACTCATCTTCGGAACTCCTTCTGGAAAAGGACGCTCATCAAATTCTTCCCGTGAAGATGTTCTCTGTTTCTCAGGTGCAGCACTGGTGCACAGTAAGCCCCACTTCACCAGTCACCTTGAATGACTTCTTGAATCCGGCTTGATTGGCTGACGTCCTTGGAAGTCCACTGGTATGACTCCAGTATTCGGTCATTTCATTATTAAGCAGATCCCGTAGCGTTTCTCTACCTGCGTTTGACGTTTTATACTATCACCACCTTCAAACAAACCAAGACCCTTTGGCATCTGTGTCACTTTTCTCCTACCAAGCAACCAACTGAGATGGCTTCTGTCGCAAACGATTATTGCCAGATGCACATCGAGGTCGAGTCTTGCACACCGACAGCCGCTGCCCGGAATGGGAGAAGCAACGCTTTACAAAAGATCAGCAGTTTGACTCATCCCATTGACTTTACCATTGAAAAGTTGGCTCGTGGACGCGAAGCGGCAGGAACTGCCACGACGTCCTCCCCGAGAACGCCGAACAGCAACAGTTCCAAGATGGCATCCCGAACTCTTCAGAAGATTTCGTCTCGATTTCGTGTAGATGTCTGCAAAGGTAGTTCACAGGCCCGTGAAAGCGGTTCACAAACCGAGAACGAAAGCATGAATGTCGAGTTGCAACTATCTGAACCACTCTCTTCCGGCAATCTAAAAAAATCGCCGAAGAGCATCAAGGGCTCGCCGAGGAACCGCACGCATTCGCCAAGGAACCCCGACGATTCGCCGAAGCGGAAAGGGTCGGTTGGATTCTTGAGAATCAAGCAACTCTTTGCATCTCCGGGTAAAAAAGAAGCCTCTCCTTCCAGCAGCCGAAGCGAGAAAGGCAACAACAGCTCGTCTCCAGCACGTAATTGATGAGGTGACACGCCCGGTTAGACCCTTCCAAATGCCTCGCGCATGCCTGCTCCACGTGGCTGTCTACCTCTTATCAAGGTGGGCGAATGTGGGTCATAGCCCTTGAATCGAGGACTCTTACGCAAAGCCTCTTGTGTCTGCTACGGCCTGTGTGAGGAGTCGAACCAAAGACCATGGAATAGAGTTTCGATGAAGAAGCAAAACTAGTGCACTCTGAGAATTTCTGTTGCGACTTCTGAAAGGTCGGTATTCAGGACTTGCCTGGAGGGTTTTGATCCGCAAATCAGCCTACGTAGCCTGCACAACAAAATACACTGATATTCTTGCTAAACTGATCAACTACATGGAGAGAGGGTTACTAGCTTTAATACTAGCTTTAATACATTACAACAACGGACCCCGAAAGGTCGATCGTCTATCGACAATCGTAGAGTATCACATGGAAGAGTATGGAGACCACTAGACCTTCACGAAAATGGACGGTTTATACTTTCGAGTTAACTAGTTATTTCATCTCTGGAGTCTCAATCGTTCCTTGCATAATTCTTGAGCTCGTCGACGTAAACCCAAGTACGAGACTTGGATCTACTTTTGCGGTGCGATGCCTGCGACCCTTCTTCCTGTTACCGGCGCCTCCACTACCAGCATCCGCGACTACGCTACTCCGCTCGAACTCGAGACGGCGAATAAACTCGTCTGCGAAGGATCGGGTTTTGTCGTTCGCACCGAGGTTTTGCAAAATCGTGTCCCTGACCTCGGATGGAGACTTAATAGCAACTAAATAGTCGAACATGACTGTATCTTGTATCTTGTTGCCAGTCAGTTGCTTTAGAGACTCACTGCACCACTTTGCAAATTCGTTGCTCACACGGCGTCCAATGACGGTATTCTCCCTGGCTGGTGAGGTGTCTCTTTCTTCGATCTTGCTTGCTTTTGCATGGGTCGCAATTTTTCTCGTCCCTGATGGTGGTGCAACTGGGGCCTTCGCTGCGGAAGGGCGAGAGGGCGCAGTTGCATGTGTGGATTGAGAGACTCGGTCGGCAAAACTCTGTTTCCCAGAACGGCCGGAATTCGGCACTGCCGAATTAGACGGCGCACCGACTGTCTCCCAGAAAGGCGCGTCGTCCTCAGAACGCTTATGGACGACTGGAGCAACAGGTTTCCTGACTGGTGGCGGAGGTCTGCTATTCTTTGCCACGAGGCTGGCCCATCCAGTTTTTGTGGTTAAGGGGCGACTACCTCCCACCGGTGCTTGAGTTTGAACCGGAAGCCCTGTATTGCGGGTAAGCCCTGCAGCTTTCTTCTTTTGCTCTTCTTCCAGCCTCATCTTTTCTTTAAAGCTCAGGGATTGCTGTTTTGAGGGGTCACGGGCACCCCCCCATGGCTGTCCACTCACATTCCAGCGAGCAGCGACTGCCTTCGCAGTTTCATCGCGCTCGTGCTGAGCTACAGCTGTTTTCTCGTCGGCCTTTCTCCGTAGTTCCTCCTGTCTCTGGATCTCTCGAAGGCTGAGTCCGTTTCCAGAGCCCTGCTCGGCGTTTGTTTTACTCCATGGTGCAATTGTTGGAGTTGTGTCAATGACACTCTTCGCTGGTTTCCCTGCATCACTGAGAACATCATGTGACTCATCCTCAGTTGCTTCCAAAGATCTCCGCTCCGCCTCTGGCTGGAAAGCTAGGTTTCCGGTCTGAGCCCCTTCCGTGACCCTGCGTGCGTTGACCTCTAGACCGTCCTTCACCTGCTGAGTATCAGCTTCGTTCGTTCGCAGAGACTCTGTGATGGCAGTATCTGTCTGGTTTTCCTGCATTTCCCCAGCTGGCCCTTGGGCCTTTCTTGTCACGGTTTCCCATCCCCCTTGCTCATCCATATCCAGAGTCTCATATGTGGCGCTCAGGTCTCTCCGAGTGTCCAGGGGACTCCCGGGCTTGTCCGGTACAGAGTTTCCATAAGTCTTGCGATCTGCAGGTGCAGATAGTGGGATCTCAGGCGTGTGAACAGGAGAAGGGGAACTGGCCGGTGGGATGGAGCTTTCAAAAGTCTGTTTCGGCGAGTGTGCCTCGACCTGAGTGAGACTGTGAGGAGACACGTTTCCTGTCGCAGTCGGAGATGGAATTGAACCTTGCCCCTGTCCTTGATGTTGTTGCCCCTGTACAGCTGCCACTGAATGCTGCAGGAGAAGATGGGTAGACTCAGCCGCACTCTTGATACGAGCCAGCTGCAGCGCCTGTTCCTTCAGCACTGTAGATAATCTGGCATGAATAGCCCTCGCATTCTGATTGTCAGGCGTGCCTGGTAGTGATGACGAAACTGCAGCTTGCGCGGCCTGCATAGATCTGGTGGTTTCAAGATGAGCTCGATAAGTTCCGTCGTACGTTGCCTGCAGCTGCGTCAATCGGTGCCTCAATATCCACTGTTGCTCTTGGGGGTTTACTCTGGCTTGCGCCTGTGCAAGGGCAGACGCCTGTTGTGCGGCTCGTGCTTGCGCTTGTTGGTGTGCCTGAGCTTGTTGGTGTGCCTGAAGTTGTCTCGCGTGTAGCTGAGCCTGGCGGAGTAGCTCGGCGTGGGCCCGCGCCTCTGCTTGAGCTCTAGCCTGAGCTTGGGCTTGAACTTGGGCTTGCATTTGAGCTTGTTCATGGGCGGTGAAATGAGTACTTGGGGGAACATGCAGGCTTTGCTGGACCGGCAATGTCGTAGAGTCCTGAAGGGCATCATGCACTTGCTTCTCCTTGCCAGTGTCTAGTCCACTGCTCAAGTGTAGCCACGGTGGAAGTTCGTTCGCACTCACCCGAGGCGATGGAGGGGATGGAGTCTTAATCGAAGATTGAGAAAATGATGCATGAGCAATGGCTGGGTCAATGGCCATAAGATCTTGCTCAGACGCATTAGCAGGTTTGGTTGGTTGCGCAGGCATCACCTCATGAGGCTGCTGCTGCTGCTGTAGGCCCACGATCATCGATGTCCAGGCCGTAGCCACTCGAGGATCTGGAGAAGGTGGGTCCACCGTGCGAGCGGTTCCTGCAGCACTTTCGCCTAGCCCCAACCTATTACTATCCTTGGCAGGCTGCTCGTCTGCTGGATAATGGCCCTGTCGCTGAGATGTAGATGTCACTTGCTGGTTGCCCAAATCACTTCGAGAAACTTCTTGAGACTTGTCCTCCCGTGAGTCATTTCCCTGCCCCATGAAAGATGCGAATCGACTCTGTGAAATCGGAGGGTCGGAGTCATGCGCTTCTTTCGAGGAGAGTGCTCCGACCGCAGGTGCCACAGCAACTTCACCCTTGTTAGTAATAGGGGCTTCTTTCACTTCATCCGCTTTATTCACGTCTGCCACTCTGCCCCCCGACGCCTCCTGAGCTACTGAGTGGCCGTTGGCCTGATTAGCTGTCCCATCATGAGAGTCGAAGAAGGAGCTTTCTTTTCCAGCGGAACCCTTTACAGTTTCTGCGTTCCCGGCATCTACCAGTCGCTTATTGCGAGCTTGTAAACGCATCATCTCAACTTCTTGAGCCATTTCCTCGACAGTTCGTGTGCCGCGCCTATTTTGCTCCTCTCGAGATGGACGCATAGACATCGGAGACGAAGATCTCGGCCCATCGTTCTTCGGAGCCGCAGAGCTGTTTACGAAACCAGGGGGCGGAGAGGCGGCCTGCACTTCCTCCTTTCGCATTCCGAAGGCGATTGCAAGCGGCTTAAAACCATGCTCACGTGATTTGCTTACAGGAAGCTCTGCATCGTAATAGCCGTCTTTCTCCCACTGAATGAGCTGGGATGAGCTGAACGGCCCTTGGATATTACCCTGTGGATCGCGATAAAACCATGACTTCTCTTCGTCGGCCAACATCTCTGCATGCGTCTTCGCCTGCTGGCTGCCAGTTCCGTGATGACGAGCTTCACGCATATCGCGATCGTGATGCTGCAAATTCGGGGCAGCTGCGGGGTCTCTGCTCGAACCCTTCGCAAGAGCGCTTAGGTCGCGAGTATTCGTAGGCTTCAAAGCATCTTTGTTGTTCCGGCTGAACAATCCACCCTCTCGCGCATGGGCGGAACGGCCCGCCCCTGCGATGGCACCGTGAGAAGGATGCTGAGAAGACGGAGCCAGGTCGCCAGCAGCCTTCCTCGGGTTCTGTGACTGTGACCCAGGGCCACGGTCGGCCGGTGATACATCATCCGCTGAGGCACCGGGATACTTGACGCCTCCAGAAGCGACGGAGGGATTGGCAGTTGCACCACCGCGCCAATTCGACTTGAAGTCCGCACCGGCACGTGAGTTGCTGCGACTCCAGTAAGGCTGCGCCGGTTTCTCGTTTGCATGTCCGTTCGGAGACGAGGCACGATCAACAGCCACCGAGCGAGGCTTTAGGGGCAAGGGGCGACGCTCGGAGGAAGTTGCAGTGGCGTTTGGACGCTCTGCGGCAGCGAGAACTGCTGACCCAGACCAGAAATCGCGGCCAGCTTGCGTGACGTGAGCTGTCTTCTTGGATGGAGTGCCGGCTGATGTCGGTGTCTCCGCCGGGGGGTTGGCAGCCAGACCATGGGAGGCATGGGGATTGTCACGACGCAAGATGGCTTCGACACCCGGACGTGGAGTGGCCGACTGGAAGCGAGCACGACCGGCGTTAGGGCTCTCCGCAGGTTCAGCAGGCACTGACGGAGAAGGAGAGTGATCGTCGGGCGCAATGTTGACAGGGACCAAGGGCTCAGATGAGGTGAGACCATGGTACTTGGACATTGTGGCAGGAATAGTCGTGGTGCTCGCCAGCTCATAGAGGTCGAGCAGCTCCGATTTGGAATACGTGATTCTTGGGGCCGTGGAGGACGGGGTTACGGTGGGCGGAGCGGGAGGGTCAGAAGATGGGGAGGGCAGATTTTGCTGGGGTGCATTCTTGGATAGGGTCGTCCATCCGGGCCCCAGTTTGAGTTCCTGAGAATCAGTTGGTTTGGCCGACATCGTGTGTGCAGCACAGGCGGGTTCGGGGGAGAGTGTGGAGAGGGATGGGGGGGTGGGACGCGGTAGGTGCGAGGAGGAGCGCGGAGGGGTCGTGGAGCGGATCTGAAAGGAAAAAAAAACGAACGTTGAACACGCTTGCTGTGGGTGGAACGAGGAGGGGATGGTACGGGGGGAGAGACGGGGTTGACGGGAACTGGAGAAAGACTTCGGCGGCAGTCGGTGTCGCACGAAACAAAAGAGCGACAGCGTTGGTTGGGTAGCCGTTCGCGCGGAATGGGATCACCGGACACCTGTCCTAATTTCGGCGGCGACGTTTTTTATTGGACAGTTTTCGCTTGTTATATTTTATAGCCATTCATATCGATCCACTTGTCTTCAACAGACTTGCCCTAAACCAGTACTGTAAGAAGAATTTTGCATTCTGAGTCACGATGGCGGCGCGGCGCTGCGGATTCTCGTTAAGGGCTGCTGTGTTCCGTGCCGGGCCGCACCGCCGGCATGCGCCCAAAACTAGCGAGCCTAAGAACTCACATCTTGACAGTGTAAGGAATGGGAGAGCACTGTACCAACTTCACTCAGAAAGATTAACCTTATCCCGCTCAGGGCCTCCTTTAAGACAGCATGGACAGCCATGTTTGGATGTATATGTTTGCGATTTTCAAAATATTACATGTCCAATAATTTAATGTATTGTGTCAGCGCGCCGTGATCCGTAAATTGGCTCAAGGGGTGCATCATACCGGGCTATCGATAGGGAAGCGAACGGTCTTTCTGAGCAGTGATGCAAGGAAGTGGCTGCAAAAAAGCCGCAAATCTCATTATCTTATAGTGCCTGGTTCGATATAGTGCCGTTTTCGGCCCACTGACAGAGGGAGGCACTATATCGCGATCCCCGTGTACTGGCATTCAGGGACGTCAATAAAATGATTAAATTGAATTTTAATGTATGCTAAATTGGATCAAGATTGAATTTAATCGCACTTATGCGGCAGGCGACAGCCAATGGTGTGCTCTCGTATGGCACGTTGGTAGCGACAGATTCCATTATATTAACTTTGTGTGCGCCATCATACTGTTAAGAAAAGTATTAAATGGACCAATCAGGTGCACGCTGACGTCCATACATGTCCAAACATGCCCGTCCATGCTGTCTTAAAGGAGGCCCTCAAGCGGATATTCTTGAGTCTGCCTTTCCTCCAGATATGCGCGTAGAGTTTTCAGCAGCACTCGTATCCCTTTTCCATCGTGTGTTCTGCGGTCAGGTGGTCACCGGTCTGAAAATCCTGCTTGGGGCGGTTCTGTTGTCCATATCGAAATTGGGTTTTGAAGCTGAAGAAAAAATTAGTCTATGGTTGGTGAGTGGCGGGCCGCGACGACCTCACTTCTTCCTGGGCTCGAAATTCATTAGTCTATGCGCGTATGTGGGTTGAGAGGTTATGGCGAAGTGCGCAACATCTTCTGGAGCTATGAACGCCACATAAACTTCAGGGATCCGCCTGTGTAAGAGACTTGACTATCAACCCAGGCTGGCAATACCGAATACAGCATTTATTCGTTTTCTCGCTGATGATTGACGAAATCGGAGCACGACAGAATTTCTGTTAGACTCCAATAGAAAAATGGTAGCCTTGCAGTGACGGAGCAGTTTCGTCCAAGCTTTTACGTCGCTGCAAATGGGGGGGTCTGCACTTGGACTCAATATCAGTGGTAAACTCTATCATCGCAACGTCTACGCGTAGCAACCCATTACACTCTGCCTGTGAAAAGAGAAACACGATGGTTTTACTGCATCATTGCCGTGACCATTGACTGATATGCAAAACCGAGCAGCAACGGCACAGGACTGTGGAACACAATATTGTTTCGGAGCAGATGCAGCAGAGGTACAGTCGTGCAGTTTTACGCCTCCTCCGCGGTCGAATAGGGAAACAAAATTTTCATCTTATTGGGTTCCGCTAATACCGGGTTCCATAGTTTCATCGCCCGTGGTCTGGGGCTTCGTCCCTCTTGGCTTTCTTGCTCGCAACGCCATTGTTATTTATCTCCCATTTCAAACTATGTGCAATGAGTTCGTAGACTTCCCTCGGTATTGGCTCAAAGAGAAACATAGTCTAGCGCTTGTCTCTTTCTTGTATGGTTTAGCCCAGCCCCATTGCTCAGAAAGAATTTTTCATGAACCTCGAGCAACTAAGACTCGGTGAGACGGTAAGACTACCCAGTTTTCCCGGTACCTATAAAAACGTGTCCTAACAAATTAATGCTCTCATTTGCCTGTCGCCCTCTTGAGAAGTCTGAGTCGCTCCTGCAATACATTCGTCTCGTCAGATGGAGATGTTTATTTGGCCTGAGCTCATGCTCGTAATGCATATTTATGAAATGTGGGCACCTGTGAGTCAGAGGGTGTACATTGGGTTTGGGCCGCAATACGAAGGATGTAGTGGGGAGAATGGAGAAACAACTTTCTTCGTGGGTGAGCGCAATAGGAAGGAGGGCCCTCTACTTACACGTGAACGTGTTATTCAGGTGCTTCTGCAGCCTGGTTGAGTTGCTAAACTCTGCCCGCAGCAGGCTGTGAGGAGACTTGGCGCTGTATCGAGGCTCACCAAAATGAATGCAGATATCGATGGCCGATAGCCGGTTGTCACAGCGTCCTCGAATACATTACTACTGTACCGGAACGAGTCGTTGGTCCCGAAGCATCCCAGGAAGCCGGCCGGAGGTTCAAGCATCTTTACAGACGTCCAAAACATTACCGCAGGATTCACTGCGTACTGATGGTACGGTAGGTGGGTACACAGTGCTACGCCGTATGCCACAGAAAATCGTCATGCAAAATTTTGCTCGAGAGCTCCGCACCATTGAAAGTCACCAGCAAACAGCTTTACCCGGCATATCTAAATTATTTCCATAATTCAATAATTCCTTACCCTGAAGTCCAGCACTCATATCTGCTCCTCTACAACATCCCCTCGCCCCACCAACAACTATCCGTCCCAACAGGAGGACTCTAGGGGCAACTTCCGCCAAGGGCCATGCGTCGCCATCCAACTCCAGCACCCTCCGCTCCGGAATCTTCCTTCCATCCGGGCACATAGACAAATCCCGGCACCACGCATGCTTTAGGCCTCGGCAGAACTTGTCAACATTTTAACCGCTAACGGTTGCACCCGGCCCACCTGCCACGATGCGCTTCTCCGAAACCTTGCGTTTCAACGCAAACCCAGACTGGTGGGTCTATTATGTTCCTTATGATGAACTCAAGGTTCGCGTCGAGAAGCTCCGTCTGCTCCATCAAGCCGTCATCTCTTCCGCCTCGCAGCACACTGCCCGCTCCCACAGCACTCATCACGACCACACCGAGTCCACGGATGAGGAGGGCGACCTCGAACCCCAGCGAAAGCCGCGCAGAACAATGCGTCGATCAGCCAGTCGACGTGTGCTTGCTGACATGCGCGCTTACGATCGTGCCGCGGGCTATTCCGCCGTCCTTGGCGGGTTTCCTCAGGTTCCACCCCCAGAGGATGCAGCACAACCCTTAGTTCGAGATGGGGAAGACCCACTTGATAGGTTTGAGCAGCAGGATGCTGAATTCTTTGATATGCTGGATAGACATGCCAAGACAGCGGACGAGCTTTTTCAAAGGCTTTCAGAAGAGCTTAAAAAGATGACGTTAGAGTTGGCCGCCGAAGGCGAGGCGCTCATCGAAATAGAGGAACGCATGAACGCTGCTCCTGGGGATATCGAGGCGATACCGTTGCTGCAAGCGCCGCCCGGTTCACCGACTAACATTCGGAGCCGTGCAGCTCTCCAGGAGGAGTTGCAACACTTTCGCCACAAAGTTGTTGAGCATTACAGAGAGCTTGGGGAAACTGTGAACTTTTCAACCTTGAATCGGTCGGGAATTGATAAGATTCTGAAAAAGCACGACAAGAACACCGACAGGAACAGAAGAACATCATACATGGCGCTTTTATATAGCGAATCACAGTTTACAGATACGTCCGAGCTTGAACTAATGCAAAAGCAAACGGAACGAGTATATGCAGATGTATTTAAGAAGGGTGATGTGCGCACAGGGAAAGAAGAATTGCGAGACGGTTTGCGCGACCTTATCATCTGGGGCAGGAACACAATATGGAGGGATGTTCTTCGGACTGAAAGAAAAGTGTCCGCCATCCACACCGTTCGCGGTGGCAGAAATATCGACTTCAATAAGGCAAGTGATCTTATTTCCTTTCGACCAAGGTCTATACCGGTTTTGGGAGCTCTTTTGGCATTCTTTCTCGTCCTTTGTTTTCCGGGTCTTGTCACCGATCTTCCAGTGGATGGTGGCGTCGAGTACTCGGAAGAAACCCTTGCAGCTGCTCACCGATGCTTAGCGCTGGTGGCTTTCGTTGTGATTTTGTGGGCGTTTGAGGGCGTACCTCTTTACGTCACTTCCTTTATGGTGCTTCCAGGAGTTATTCTTTTGCGAGTGTTCTTGGACGAGGATGGAGTTCCGTTGAGTCCCCAAAAAGCATCAGAAACTGTTTTCATGCGAATGAGCTCACCAACATTGCTGCTCATTATCTGCGTCTATGCGATGGGTGCGGCGCTCTCCAAGTTCGAGATTGACAAGCTTATAGCAAATCGCATCCTTGTGAGGATCCGGAAGCCGCATGTCCTCCTCGCTGCCGTGATGTTTTTGGCGGTTTTCACATCTGTTTTTGTGAGTAATGTCGCGGCCCCTGTCCTCCTGAATTCCGTGATGATGCCGACAATTGACGCCATGAGACAGTCGCGGAGCAATCGAAAATATGTTCGATGCTTGCTGTTGGGGATCATGATTGCCAGTAATATTGGAGGGTTCGCGAGTCCGATCTCGTCACCACAAAGCGCTGTCGCATTGGGATTATTGGTCGGTGATTATAAGATCTCGTTCGTCAAGTGGCTAGTCGCTGCGATCCCCCAAGCGACTGCGATGGTGATAGTCTGCTTTTTGGTATTGTGCTTGATGTACAAACCTCAGAATTACGAGTTGCCACAGCTTCCAAGTTTTTCTGAGAAGCTACGGTGGCCGCATTGGGTGACAATAACGTCGATAGTGGGAACTGTTTTTATATGGTCGGATCATGGATTGCAAGACTTTTTCGGGTCAGCTGGTGTGGTTGCCCTTTCCAGCACACGATATACTTTGGGACAGGAATCCTCACGAAAGAGGATTTCAACAACCTCCCCTGGGACGTGGTATACCTGGTGGCTGGTGGCATTGTTTTGGGTGCAGCTGTCGAGTCTTGCAAGTTGCTCGATGTGGTGGCGGAACGACTCACCAATGCAATAGGAACCTCAAACTTATTTCTGACGTACTTAATTTTCTGCGTCTTTATGGCGGCAGTGGCCAACGCTGTTTCCCATACGGTCTCTGCCATAATCGTTTTGCCACTCATTTACAAGATTGGAGAGAGCCTTGGTCACCCGCAAATTCTTGTTCTCGCCGGAACTATTGCTGCTTCCAGTGCTATGGCTCTCCCCGTTAGCTCATTTCCGAACATCTCAGCAACACAGGTTTCGGACGAGCAAGGAGACCCTTACCTATCTGCAAGTGAAGTACTGAAAGTAGGCTCAGTGATGACTGTTCTATGCACTATCGTGTTGGTGACGTTTGGATACGCGCTAATGGTACAACTGCATATGTAGAGGACCTTTGCTTTTAGAATTGTGCAAATACCCATATGCTGTACATGTGTACTGTACCTTTGTGTTTGAACATGACCTCGTGTGACGTTTTACTTTTTTATGATGCACCATAGCACACAAGGTGACAACAAACTAGATACAGGGGGGGGGGGGGGGGGGGACGCGCAATAGTGCCGCTTTCATTATTGCCACCCTCGAATTAGTGCCGCCAAAACCGGCAGACACAGGTTCTGCCATGTGTCATGCACGACGTCGTCATCGGCCACTCCTCATGCGCCTCAGCTCACTTGGTGACGTGATGGCACCTCACTCAAAGACCCTAACATGAATCCTGAAAAGATCGCCAAAGCGAAGCGTACGCGCCTTACGATTGCACAGAAAATCGAGGTTGGGCATCTGCTGCAGGTCGGAAAGTTGGTCGAAATGAAACAGAAATTGATAAATCTATAGTGGATGGTATTGTAGGGTTTCTCTCCCGACTGAGCCTGGTGCCAGAAGACGGCCTTGCAGAATTCTGCAGGAAAGATGTGGAGGAATGGATTGAGATCGAGACTAATGAGCTTGTGGCAGAAGCTTGTATTAGTGATGCTTGCGATTCAATACATTATGGTGGAGAGCTACAGAATCAGTCTGCCAGTGATCCTATGATGGATGATTGTGTGGCAGAAGACGAGTGTGAAATCACGGAGAGGCGGGCCGTACCGAGTGCTGTAGCCGAGTGCTGTAGTGCTAGCAAGGTTGTTTGGGTCTTTGAAGAGTCTGGGTGTGGAGTGCGATGTGAGCAATGCCTTATCGCACTTGAGGTCCGCAAAACGAGCTTTTCTAGTGTCTATTGGACGGACGTTTTTGATCATGAGGATTTTTCCTGTCTGTCAGAGCATTAGAAAGACCCTCCTAAATACCGTGCATTCTAGGTGCCTTCAAGGGACTTGGACATTGTTTTTTACTCTTACTGTTACTGTTTCGCGGTAACTATGGCTTTCAGTTCTCCCTCTTTGCGCCAGAAACGGCGCGGCAAAAAAGCCTCATATGAGGCGAAATCCTCAAATGAGGCGCATTGTCCAATAGACACTAGAAGCTAGGCATGAGAGACAGGGTCAAAGGCAACAACAGCAGGGCAATAACAGAGTTCTGGCCGGGTAGTGATTCTGCTTTCTGATTGTGCCGCTCCGAATTAGTGCCGTATTATTAGTCCTTAGTAAGGACTCCTTACACAGAGCAGCACTAATGCGTAGTGTCGACTGTACATCTACAGTATATGACAAAAATGACATTTGACCACAGGGCAGACATCTTATTGTGTTCAAAAGTCGAGGGGGGAAGAGTGAAACCAGCGAATTACTCTCGCACTTAGAATCGAAGAATAGAGAAACCTTATTCTTCTCCTCTCCCCGAGGGTACCGGACCAGGTCTTCCTTTTTCCTCAAGCGAAGAACAAGGCCCAACTCCGCTCCGATAAGTTGCGCGTAGAAGACTGCCAGCTTTTGCGTGAAACTCCGTTCTCCAGATGCGTTATTCAGGCAGTACTGTACCTGCTCCTCTCGAGGTGCAAAAACTCATCGGCTTTATGTCATTTCAAGTCGTCTAGACTCGAATCCTTGACAGTTCAGTTAGTCATCTATAACTCGTTCTGTACAACACTAACGCAACTACAGTCTGTGTATTCTACAACGAATTCAAAACTACCTCAAGCTAAGAAATGTCTTCATCTACAATATTGATCACCACCTTTCCTCTTGGCCTCTTGTTTTCCCTCAGCATGTGAGCCTTGGCAATGTCCACAAGGGCAAATTCCTTGAAGATGCTCGGCAAGAGGTGCCCATGTTCAACGAATGGGGTAATTGTCTCCAGTGGTACGTCCAATGCGCAGGGCATGACGAGGTCATAGCCCCCCTTGCGGATGCGGGAAATAGCCTTTCGGCCCGCCGCACGTGCAACGCCATCAAGAACGTCAAAATAACCAACACCTGCAGCAAATGCGAGTGTACCCAAGCACTCAGACCCTGACGCCACGACAAACCTTGCTCCTGGAGCGTGTGTCTGTACGGCTGCCCAGTGCTGTGGCGAACCAGCTGTGTCCAGCACGATATCCGGCTGGGCAGCTTTTACGATCTGTTCGGCGGCTATCTCGTGATAGTCATATGTGTTGGAGGCGCCGAGTTTCTTACAGAAGGAAGCGTTCCTGGCTGAACAAGTCGTGCTGACGTTGCTCGCCCCTAGCGCGCGCGCCAGCTGCAAAGCCGCATGCCCAACCCCAGAAGTGCCGCCAAAGACCAACACCCGATCGCCGGCCCTAATCTTCGCGTATGCCATAAGAGCGGCGTGGGCCGCCAGACTGATTGTTGGCAAAGCGGCAGCCTGCGTGAAGGAAAGATTTTCAGGCATCCGAGCGATACGGCGAATAGATACGACCGCCCACTCAGCGTAAGCGCCGAAGCCTGTGCTAAGATCTGCCTGTCCATAAACAGAGTCGCCCATTTTGAGTTCAGAATCCGAGCCAACCTCGTGCTTCACATGGACGATAGTGCCAGCAAAATCAGTGCCAAGGACAGTCGGGAAAGGCATGGGCAGCAACCTTCTGAGCTCTCCTGATCGTAGCTTGCAATCAGCAGAATTGACGCCGGCGGCATGGATACGAACAAGCGCCTGCCCTGGTTCTAAAAGCTTCTTAGTGGGTCTATCAACCCACCCAAGCCTGAAGACGGCCGGGGGCCCATGACTGGGCACGTAGGCAGTGCGCATTTTGCCATCCGTATGGCGATTCGCTGGGGAGTTAGTGGTGCGGCGCGTCCATTCTGTTGACGACGAGGAGCGCATGGAAAGGAGCGATTCGCTCGTAGAGGAAGAAGTAACTAAAGTGCAGTGCGATACCGACGGTGAGAAGACTGTCGTTGCTTTTGACGGTAAGCTGGCTCCCTTTGCCTTTTCGTTGTCAAGCGCATCGAGGGCGGCCTCGAGGGCGGCTTTGCCAGGAGTGGCTGATGGCAAAACGGCGCTCTGCGTGGGGGAGTCGAGAGCGGTATTAGCGGTACAGCGGGGGGTGACGTTGTCGAGAATATCGTCAGAGTTGCTGCGGGAGGACGAGAGGGTGGGGGCATCGACGATGTTCAGTGGGGGGGCGACTTTGCGGCGCGGGCGACCATTCAAGGGGCCTTTGGCAGGGTATCGCGGGGGGACTTGACGGCGAAGATCGTGGAGCGAGCGAGTGTTTTGGAGACTCCGGGTGAACAAATTAGACATTTTTGGCATTAGACAAATGCGGGGATAGTGGGGGGTGTTGGTTGCGGCTGCTAAGCGATTGGATGAAAACCGGAGCCAGAGGGGGGCGGAAGCCGTGCGTGCGTGAGGAGGCGGTGAAGAAGAGGCGGGTGCGGCGGATGGACTGTGACGATGGCAGACTGTGAGAGTGCTTATGTCTTGGTGGAGAAGGTCCACATCGAGATGCCAAAAGTTGTCCGGCGATAAAAGCAGTGCTGTGGTGAGATTTGGGTCGACGATTGGTGAGGGGTGTAGAAAATGTGGCCCAATATGGAAACGTGGCGAGGACGAAAAAGTAGGCAATTGGGACACAACAACCAAGAAACGGCGCAAGAGAGCATGTTTTTATTGCGATGAAGTGTTTTTGCGTAAAGCATGTCTCGTTTGCTTCTGGAAGTGCCGCGCTGTTGCTTGGACCGGATTTGGACGACGGACGAAACTCTGACTTTGGTCCATCACGCTCGGAAGACAGAACGAAGGCGATCGAGACGGTGGCGTTTGTCTGAATCTATTGAAAGACAAGGGGAGACAAGTCGTCTGACATACTTTGCTGCACACTTTTTCGAGAAGAAAGATGCTGCCAGCAGCAGCTAGATCCGTAGACCGTCTACTATATAAAGAATCGACGATATGCAACGAGGCCTTGCTAGCAGGATAGGCTACCCTTGGAAAGGCACTAACCTCGAAAGACACTTGGGTCCCGTATCTCTCGTTCTGACATAAAGCGACGAGAGCATGGCTGGCCCTTACCGCTGGCTTGTACCTTTTGTAGATTGAGATAGCATTGAAAAGGATGTCTTTCTCGACATTTCGCCTACCGAGTTTCAATCTGGGCATGACAACACCTGTTTCACAACAGCAATTTTCTCAGTGAATACCAGCAATTGTGTTCTCGGACAGGACCTCCAGGATGGTACAAACTAGGTCGCGTGCTATTGCTCTTTGCGGGAGCTCAAGAGTACACTATTACCTCTTCAAGCTAGAGATAAAGACGTCCTCTCTGAGGACAGAGTTTTGTGCAGCTGTCTGCACCATCCGCTTTTCCATTTGACACGTAATATAGATAGGGGATGGTGGCGAACGGAGGGGATCATTTTTGCCACGCATGGTTCCTATAACCAGAAAACACTTTTTTTTCGACACGCATGTAAAGGACACGTAGCCTTCGGGCAGATCGACCTCTAAAGAGCCTCAATAATGTTTACAGTTCCCGGTTTACGTCACTGGCCATGCCAGAATGTACGAGTTCTAAGCATGCTTTTTATATGTTTTTCACACCTACTTTTTGCACCACTTCCATGAGAAAGAGGGCTTTATCTGCACTATTTCTTCATTCTGCCTTGATTCCCGCATACAAGGCCATCCCATGATCTTAACTTGTTGAGTCATCAAAGCGTTGTTGTTTCTGCCTGTTTTCATGGCCACAGCAACTTGCTTCAACGCGCAGTTGAGAACGATCCATCCTGTTTGCGAGAGATAGATAATCGCAGTTTTATGTTTCGGCATACATAGGCATGGTTCGATGAGTATAACTAATCGATTTCGAAATTGTAGTGAATATGTTGAGACTGTCTTGCCCCGACGACGAACAATCGCTGGAGCAAATATGTTTTCGCTGAATTGTTGGCTTATGTATCACTATTCCTCGTCTTCTCCCCTCACCTAACACAAATATATCCTAGGACCACAACCCCTTCCATTTCTCCTGCATGAGCCTTAATCTTTTCATGTGAATCGCTGCGGAAGCACATCCTGGTATGCAGAGTTTCTTCGGGCACTTGTTTGTTGCAATAATGTTCAAGTAAAAGAATGTCTTCACAAAAATCCTGCCCCTCGCCCCATAACCTTCCTTCTAAAATGCGACATGACACAGCACGGGCACTACTGATTTTCTAGAGAAACTGTTCAACTTCGAATGTCCCCGAGACGTGTGCCCTCGTTTGCTTCGTTCCGAGATTGAATGTCATGTTCTTTTTCTTCAGGGGGCTCTCTGCGTTTTATCTATCGTATAGACCTGTCTATACCATGATTGCAGCGGTACCCTGTCTATAGACAGGGTACCGCTGCAATCATGGATGGTGCACCTGAATTGAAATTGATAACTATCATGGCACGTTTTCGTCTCTTGAGGCTGCGGTTTGAGCAAAGACGCCCCCCTCGTTTGTTAATCAAGCGGGGTCACTTTACAAATTTAGAACCGTTTTTGAATAGATGAGTTGAGCATTGGCGACTGTAGCCTCACAACTCTTTCATTCCATAACACGAAATTGCCATGGATTAGAAGTGTTCATGGGTCAGAACACACACGTGGGTTGGAAGAATCGTGTGTTGAAGCATTGTAAAATAATTGCAAGCCGAGGCATGCCACGTCGTTATGGATACATGTACGGATGTTTGGACGGCGTTCATACGACGATTAAAGGGATTTGGCGACCTAGCAGATTCCACAATACAGAACTCGCACGCAGAAGGGTACACTGTACATTGCTTTGATATTCAAGTTATGACATGATAAAGGTGGGTGAAGGCCAAGTGTTTTTGAGTTTTTGACCTGTAGTAATCTGAGTTTTTGGCCTGCAGTATTCAGAGTTTTCGAACAACAAGCAAAGAGAGAAGAGCTCTACGACAGCTGCAAAGAATATGTTTAAAGACGGAAAAAGAAAATGTACATGCTGCAACGCATTTCCACTTAAAGAACAAGGTTGAAACGAGCAAAAAGGTGCAAGAGGCGGGCGGCCTTTTATTTTGTTGCGGTATAGTGTACAGGCGTCGGGGTAAGGGTTTCCCTTGCAAGCCCTGTGGGGTGTTACGGTCTCGGGATACGCGGATACTTGGCGCCAGAGACGCGTCCGCGCATAGAGGTGACCGGGAACGGCATGGAGCGGGACATGAGGATAGCGACGTCGCGGCCGTTCGTGAGCCAGACGGGGATTCTCGAAGCGCGGGGAGTTGGCTTCGGCGGCGACCTAGCGGTTTCCATCTTCGCGGTCATGTCGGCGGCGGCGGCGGAGAGCGGCACAGCGGAGGATGAGCGGCACCGGGAGTTGTGGCGGCGGGGGTGCGTGTTGCAAGCGGTTGCGACTTGGAAGTGCGCCTGCGACAAGGGAGCTGCTGCGCGGCTTCATGAAGGCGCGGCGGCTTTGTACCGGCGGGCCGGCTCGCGCGGCGCGCGCGGTCAGCCAACATGGGTGCGCGCGCGGCGCAGAGGCCAGTCACCGTTGAAGGAGACTTTTGCGACAATCTACTTTGTGTTCGCCGCTTAGTCTACTTGGGCGCGCGGGGCGCGCGCGTTGGACGGGGGCGCAGTCATTGGCGCGGGGTGGCGCGGCGCGGTCAGCCAACATGGGCGCGCGCGCGGCGTAGAGGCTAGTCACCGTTGAAGGAGCCTTTGCGACAATCTACTTTTGTGTTCGGCGGCGCAGACGGATGCGAAGCGGCTGCGGGCGGCGCGGCGCGGCGCGTTGCCCGCGCGGAGGCGCGCCCCCTCCGCGCTGCTGCCCCAATGGGCGCAATAATAACAAGCAGGGGGCGGGGGTCCGCTTCAGCGCTACGCTACAATTGTTAGTCTCGGATTTCCCGTATTGTCCGCTTCGCGCAAGCCAGTAGGTCTTTGACTGAGGAAGAGGAGGGGGGATGAAACTAGGAAAGTTACAGATTTTGACCCCGTTAAAGCTATACAATCGTAGTATGACAAATGCGCGAAGACCCCTACAATTGTTAGTCTCGGATTTCCCATACTTGTATTGGGGGGATGAGGCGGGGCGGGGCCCCGCGCACAGGCAGGCGCCAGCCCCTCGCTGTGGTAACGCGCCTTCCAACAGGACGGGCGCTGATGAAGTGTGCGCTTATGAAGTGTGCGCTTTGGTGCATTACTGTAAGGTCGACTGGATGCAAATGCATCTGCCCTGCCACCGAGTAGCCGGAGGGAGACGAGGTGAGCAAGAAAACGCTACAAGTACGGGTCCACTAAAGTTGAACAGAACTGAGATGGCAGGCCTCGTCCACAATTCACCCGTGTCCACAATTCACCCCTCATCAAAGTCTACCCTTCGAAGCTACCAAGGGTAGTCGCGCGGAAATCTCCGTCGCGACAGCGTGCCCGCCGCGATTCGCTGTTCCGCGCGCGCCGCTCGCGCCGAGCGTCCACTCGCGAGGTGCCCCGGGGCCTCACAACCGCCGCGAGCCGCGCCCGGCCGCGCTAATGAATTTGCGCATCATGGGCTTGCGCGTGCGCGCATGTCATCTCGCGAACAACCCGGCGTCCCCGGGGCGCGCCCCTCGCGAGCCCGCCCCCTCCCCCGCAGTGAACGTCCACGTTCACCCTATTGC